AGAAATGTGTTTGGTGCCATTTAATTTTTCTGTGTATTTTTAAGTTAATTTTAGAAGGGTGTAGCTATGGTTCAAAGGTTGAATTTTTGCCTCTTATGCAGAAGAACTGAGTTTGGTTCTCGGTCAATATCCCAGAAGATGTGCATCTACTGCTTATTAATCAGTGGAAACCAGTGTGTTGACAGGATGATGCCAGGATGGTGAACAAGTTTGAAGCATTGTACAAATTCTAACAGACTAAGAAAAAAATAAGAAAAGAGGCCTGGTCATCTTTGTCAGACAAGCAACCAAAACAAGCCCCCTGGATCACAATGACCTAACTCATAAGTGTTCATGGAGATGGCGCAGGGATGAGCATTACTTCATTCCATTGTACATGGTGTCTCATGAATCAGGGTGGTAACAACACTTACCTTTGGTATCTGTGAGTTACATGAGAAAAAAGATTTTAAAATAGGGGATTATCCTAGATTATCCAGGTGGGACCAAAAACCCTTGAAAACAGAGAACTGTCTCCAGCTAGAGGAAGAATAGAGAGGTAGCCAAGAGATGCAGCAGAAGGGGAAGTCAAAGAGATTCAAAGTGTAAGAAGGTTTTTGTGTAACATCACAACATCTAAGATCCAGGGGGCTTCTAGGACAAGATGTGTCAGGACTGGCCCTAGAGGCAGCCCCAGCAAGGAAGCCCTGCAATTACAAAGATAAATTTACAAAGGTAAACTCTTCCCAAGGTCTCCAGAACAACATCAGAGCAGTCCTTCCTGTTAAAAATCTTTCTTTTTATCCACTGAAAATTAGTTCGAGACATCTAATACAAATGAAACCCTGGTGATGCAATGGCTAAGTACTTGGCTGTGAACCAAAAGGTCCTCAGTTTAAACCCATCAGCTGTTTTTTGGGAGAAAAGATTTCAGAATGTGTTTGATGAAGTTTACAATGTAGGAAAACCTAGAGTTGCCAAACTCAATGGCACAAAGGGGCACTCTTTACAGGAGCCCATTTTCAGTTTTCTTCTGATATGCTGCTGGGTGGATATAAACCCAAAACTTCTACGTTGGTTAGCATTTTAGTTCGTTCTCATTGAAATGATTCCCACTCAGTGTTGACCTCACAAAGTTGAGTGTAAACTGTAACACCCAGAGACCTGGGTCTCTCCTAGACCTTCAGAAATGTACAATGACTTTGGAGGAGTCAGCTGGAGAACCTGACCAACTAATTCAATGTTAATTTGTTAATGGACAAGGGTTAGGGGAAAGACTGCATTTTTTTTAAACACAGTGTTTTTGTAAAGAAGTCTTGTCATTTGACTTTGACACTATTCAATGCAGTGAGAATGCCAGATGTGGAAGCAGAGGGATGAAGATGTGTATGAGAGTGAGTGTGTGTGTGTGTGTGTGTGTGTGTGTGTGTGTGTGTGTGTGTGTATTATACGGTTGCACAATTCAATGGGTAGGAGGGTAAAGGAAATGGGAAGGATCTTTTGTGAAAAACAACATATTCAAACTTTACTGATAAATCAGCATAAAATAATTTTTTAAAAAGAGTTTAAAAAAATGTCAGATTTGGGAAGAGAAGGAAAAAATTCCTGGCAAGGGGGCAAGCAAAGCTTTGTAGCATCTAACCTATCATCCCTTCCGCACCAAATGTGACCAAGAAAAGTCAACTCCATAAAGGCTTCCTGCGAGTTCTGCTTTCTCCCTAACTTGTGAGACAGTATACGTCCATGTTTAAGAAGAGATCAAAGAGTATAGAAGATAATACATTGTGAAGTAACAGTACCCTTGCCCACAGTTCCATGTTTCCCTATGAATACAATCTTTATGCGTTGGTTTTGTTTCTTTCTTTGAAATAAGCAGATTGCTCTGTCAAAAAGTCAAAGTAATTATCGTGGAGATGGACCTGTCTCACAGCTGACCTTCCAGCAGGTCGAGGTTGTAAATAGCACAAGAGGAGACAACACATCTTTTCTCCCACAGAGCTGTCAGTTCGAATCACCAGAAAGGTGCCACTTCAAGGTTGTGGTGAAATTACATAAGGACTATGCTATAAGAGCTCCTTGGCTGTTCTGTACATATTATTACATAACTTGATTTTTTATTCCATTTACAAGCAATTCCCACATTACTATGGCATGAAGCTTCACTGTAATACTGAAGGCAGGTGGTTCAAGACAAGCTGCTCTATGAGAGAAGAGCAGGAAATCTCCTCTCGTATGATTAAGTGCCTCTGAAAACCTGCTAGAGGGTCAGCTATGGGTCGATTCTGACTCGATGGTACACAACAACATGAAGAACAAATTAAGTGAAATTTGTACTTAAGTGAGAATGGTAGGTATAGTTCATTTTTAATGTTAGCCAAATATTTGTCTCATGGGGTAGCATATACTCTACCTTTCTATGCATAAAAAAATTTAAAGAAATACTTCTAGACACATTACATTAACATAATACAATAACAATATCTTGAGATGACTCACAAAGTTGCACCCATTTTTAGGTACTTTACATTTTTTTATATATAGGCTTTATGATATTGGTTCATAACTACTGAATATGCATATAAAAGTCGGACTTTGGCAACTGAAAGATGCTTATATTAATAAATCCAGAAACATCTGAGTGTGTATGGCTCAAAAGAAAATCAAAACACAAATTGCATTGGAAAAATCTACTGTCATGGACCTCTCAGAGTACTGAGAAGTAACAATGGCAGTCTAGAGACAAAGGTGTGTCTGATCCAGGCCATATTCTTCTCAATTCTTTGCTGTGCTTCAGAGAGCTGGACAATGACTAAAGATGGCAGGAAAAGAATAGATGCCTTCAAGTTGTGGTGCTGGAGAAGTGTCATGAACATACCATGGACTGCCAAGAAAACAAACTGGTCTGTATTGGACAGGGTGAAACCAAGTCTCTCCTTGGAGGCTAGTATTTTAAAGCTCTGTCTCACATACTTTGGGCACATGGCCAGGAGAGACTGGTCCTTGGAGAAGGACATCATGCTTAGAAAGGAGGAAGAGACAGCGCAGAAGGGGAAGAACCTGGATGAGATGGACTGATACAGTATCTGGGGCAATGGGGGTTAGTGTGTCAGAATTAGTGAGACTGTTTCAGGTTAGGGAAGGGTTCAGAGCTGCTGTACACAGGGTCACCACATGTTTCAGGCAACTCAATGGCACATAACAACAAAAACATATTATATTGATTGTTTTGTTTTGTTTTTTCACTTAAGCCTCATGTTCAGAGTCAACAAGATATCAGGGAGGGCCTTTGTATTTAAAAGTTTGTTGTTTTTATATTTTGGAGGAACATTCTTCTAAGTGTTATAGCGTTCTTCTGTTAATATGCTGTACTGAGGTAACCTGGGTTTGTTGAGATGCTGAACCTTGTGCTATTGGGGTATCAAATGCCATAATGGTTACCCATGGTGGACAGTGTTTGGTGGAGCTCACAGTTTGACAGTTTGGAAGCAGGAGTGGCATCCACTTCCTAAACAACATAACATGCCTCTGGAAACTCTATGAACTTTGATAAACGTCAATAGTAATAGAAAGCCTTCAGGCCTTTTGTACATAGGGTCAGTAAGAGTCATGCTCAACTCGATGGCAATTAACAACAACAACAACAACAACAACAATATATCTGGCTCATTTTTCTTCTATTCTTTTTCATGTCCATATACTGTTCTATTTTCTAAATTAGTACTTTCACTTATTAAAACACTCAAAAGCACCTAATAACAACAATAACAAAAGATGTCCATTTATGTGATAGCAAGGAGAGTCAATGATACTTTCATTAATGCTAGTCAATGTCCGTATTGCCTATATTTTCTCAGTCTTAACCAAAAGACACCTTGTATCAGGGAGGGCACTGGTTGTAACACTTTTTTTTTTTAACCTTTACCAATTTCTTAGGTAGAAAATTTTTCTTTGTTTCTGGAGAAGAGTACTGAATGTACCATGGACTGCCAGGAAAACAAAGAGATTCATCTTGGAGAGGATTAAACCAAGCTACTCCTTGGAGGCAAGGATTCTGGGGCTTCGTCTGACATACTTTGGACATGTTGCCAGGAGGGACGGGTCCTTGGAGAGGGACATCATGCTTGGGAGGGTGGAGGGACAGCGCAGGAGGGGAAGACCCTCTATGAGATGGATTGATTCGGTGACTGGGGTAATCGGGATGGGTGTGTCAGAGGCAGTGCGGTTGGCGCAGGATAGAGCAGGGTTTAGGGCTGTTGTGCATAGGGTCGCTATGAGTCGAAAACGACTCGACGGCACATAACAACAACAACAAAAACTTTAACCACTAGTGCAGGGTAGTGTTTTTCAAATGTTTATTGGGCATGTACTTTTTTTCCCACGTCTTTTGCAAATTTCCTCAGCAAATTCATTTATTGCTTCAAGTTATTTATATGTTAGGGAATAAGTCTTGGAACTGATGTCCTACAAATACTTTCCCCCTGTGGGCTATTTACTGATACTAAGCTAAACATTTATATGGAGCTAAATAAAAAAAGACCAATATTTTTCTCTCAGGCTTTAATTCTGTGCCATGATGGTAAGTTCTCCTCATCCAAGAATAGTTTTAAAAATTCCTCTCATTTCTATATTTTATCTACCTAAAATTTACTTTAATATATGGAAAAAGAAAGAAGAATATACATTTACTTTTCCACAAATGATTAGAAGTTTTCCTAACATTACTTATTGACTAAGTTAACCTTTTCTTTTTTGCTAAGTCATCTTGATCACATAACAAATTCCTAAATACACTAAATTTATTCTTTGAAACTGATATATGTTTAAACTTTACTTTAAATTGTTTTACTTATGTACCTGAATAGAATATCTGTTTATTTTATTGGTATACATTCTTTAGTTTTTTTTACATAATTAATGAATTTTTTTATCAGTTTACAAAAAAACCTCTTAGTGTTTTGATTTTTCTGAATTTTTGCTTCATGCAGAGAAGCTCTTATTTTGAAGGGTTCAGCTTTACTTACCCAGATGGATGCCATGATATTCCACCTCTGACTTGAGTCAAGATGATACTAATAATGAAAAAGAAAAATATTACTAGAAGAAAGAAATCTTTTATTCAGAGTATAGTAAACTCAACCCAACCATTACTCTTCAGTCCAGATAAAAACAAATAAATAAAAATGCAGTATGTTGTGAGGAGGGACCAGTCCTTGAGAAGGACATCATGCTTGGAATGATGGAGAGTCAGTGCAAGAGAGGAAGACCCTGGATGAGATGGATTGACACAGTAACTAGGAAAATTGTGTGGGTATACCAGAGACAGACTGACTCAGACTAGGGCAGGGTTCAGAACTATTGTAAACAGGGTCACTATGAGTTGCAGGCAACTTGATGGCACATAACAACAATACACACATACACATTTTTTTTTCCCTCAGAAGGTGAATGTGTCTCTCTGTTCACTACATTTCTACTCTGGGTAGACCAAATGGTTATGTGCCTCCCTAACAAAAAGGCTAGTAGTTCAAATTCACCCAGAAATACCTTAAAAAAAAAGACCTGGCAATCCAAAAAAAAAAAAAAAAAAAAGGAGCACTGAAAGCCCAATGGAGCACAATTCTACTTTAATGAGCATAGGGATTTTGTTGTTTTGTTCTAGCAAGTTGACTACAACTCATAGGTCCTATAAACAAAGCTCAGAATCCTGCCCTATCCTAGGTCAACTTCACCATCGCTGACACACCTGACCCACTCTCACAGTCACTGTGTCAATCCACCTCATCCGGGGGTCTTCTCCTCCACTGACCCTCTACCCTTCCAAGCATGATGTCATTCTTCAAGGACTGTCCCCTCCTGACAACATGCCCTAAGTATGGGAGATGGAGTTTCAAAATCTTTCCCTCTCAGGAGCAACCTGGTATCACTCGCTCTAGGACAGTCCTGCTTATTCTCTTGGTAGTCCAAGAGTACTCTCCAGCACTATAACTCAAAGGCATCAATTCTTCTTCTGTCATCCTTAGTCATTGTTTAGCTCTAAAATGCACAGCAACTGAGAAGACCACAGTTTAGATCAGGTGCATTTTAGTCTTTAGACTGATACTATTGCGCTTTAGCCTCTGCAGAGGCCTTTGACAGCACATTTTCCTAATGCAAATCATCTTTTGATTTCCTGACTAATGGTGCCAAAGGATTGGTTGTGGATCTGAGTAAGCTGAAATCGTTAACAATTTTAATCTTTTCTCCATTTATCAAGATGGTTTTCTTGGCCTGTTGGTGAGGATTTCTGTCTTCCTGACGCTGAGATGCAATCCGTATTGGAGGCTACAGTCCTTGTTCTTTTGCAGTAAGCACTTCAAGTCCCCTTCGGTTTTAGTGAACAAGTTTGTGTCACCTGCATAACACAGGCTCCAATCCTGATGTCAGGATTCTTCTTAAAGTCCAACTTCTCAAATTATCTGTTCAACATACATGATTCAAATGGTACAGAGAAAAGATTCACCCCTGATGCATTCCTTTCTTGATTTTTAAACTATGCAGTATTCCCTCGCTCTGTTCAGACAAGAGCTTCTTGATCTTGGTATAGGTTTCTCATGAGCACAATCAAATGTTCTGAAATTCTCATTCTTTTCAAAGTTAGCCACAATTTGTTGTGACCAACAGAGTCAAATGCCTTCACAGAGTCAATAAAATACATCCTCTAGATTACTTGGCAGGCATCAATTTAAAGAAAAGTGGTTACATACCCCTAATAAGAGGCTCTGATAGATTCATGAGGGCTCAAAGACAGAAAAAGGGGAAGGGAAACACTCTACACTTAAAAGGTTTACAAATAAACTTCCTGCAAAGTCAATTTTTTATTTATTTAAAATCTAGTTTATTTGATTACTGACTTTCCCTCTCATAACTTTCTCACACACACTACACACAAACACACAGAGAGAAAAGTGGGGGGGGAAGAGAAGCACTCCCTAACTGCAGCTCTGAACCAATGTTAATTTTAGCTGGCTTCAATGTCATCATTTCATTGTGCTTGATTGTGAAATCTCCGTTTACATTTTACAAGCCTCCAATCTTGTAGCCTGGTGCAGACAGGCATATGTGTTCTCTGAGAAGGAAGTCTGGTCCTTGCTTCGGGTGCAGCATGTGAGGGGCAGCCCCTTGATGGAGCCCTAGCTGGGAAAGCCGGCAAACTTCCTATAAATTCCTATTATCCAAACATGCTGGATTATCTCAAGGGTTGTTTTACAAACACAAGTTGTTCCCACCCATCCTGGAAACAAAATATTTTAAAAATTTTCCTCAGAGTTCAACAGGAAGTTACATCATTGGTCCTTGGAAAGCATTAGCTCTCATTTTCTCAGGCCCTCTGTCACTAGGGCAGAGGGGCAGGAGGTTCTTATCCACTCTAACGCCACATTCTTCTCTATATACAGTGAATACAAGGTTACTAATTCTGGCTTTGTCTCTGGAAGTCACATAGTCTTTGGGTTTCCGTTTCCTCATCCCTATGAAGGAGAAAGGAGGGTGGTTTGTTGCTTCTAATGAGTAAGTATGACTATCAGCTGGTGCTTTTAGTTTTCATTATGTTCTGGGTAATATTAATACACAAAAAGCTCAACTTAGTTCCACTCAATAAGGCTAGAGATTCATGTTGTGTTTGTTCACTGGGGCAATGTTATGTACCATCTAGTCAATTTCAACTCAAACTTGTTCTCATCTAATTGAATGGAAAAGAACTGCTCCTGTAAGATTTCCAAGTTTGTAAATCTCCACAGAAGCACCTTCCTCTCGTAGAGCAGCTGGTTGATTTTACTGTCAACCTACAGGTGAGCAGCTGAGCTAGGTGAGCCCTGTACTGTGTTGGTGGCATCAAGTCAATTATGACTAGGGGAGCTCTGGTGGTCTAGTGGCAAGAAGCTGCAACTACAATCCCAGAGGTGCACGGTTCGAATCCACCAGATGCTCTGCCGGGGAAGGAGGGGCAATCTCCTCCTGTACCAGTCAGATCTGATTTGACGGTACACGCACACAAAATAATAAAATAAAAAAAAAAAAGTCAAATTATGACTCACAGTGACCCTAAGAACAACAGATCAAAAGCCTGCCCTGTCCTCATCAACCCTCACCGTCTCCACCGTGCTTGAACTTACTATTGAAGTTACTATATCTACTCAGGCTGTGTGCGTGGGTGTTGTGGCAGTTTTTGGACATGAAGGACTACTCTGCCTCCAGGAGCCAGGCAAGCCAGGCTTGGCCTAGGGTTTAAGGCAGCAGGGGGCTTCAAGCCCAAAAGTGCCCTCGGGCCAGTCTTTCATTGTTTTTGTTCAGACATTCCTCTAGGACGTATAGCCCTGGAGTACAAGTTGCTGTACAGCGGTCACTTGTGGTTGCTGTGAGGCTGAACACTGTGACACTGATATGTCAAATGCATTAATGATTGGCTACCCAATGCAGACAGAGAGTGGGGTGGAGCTCCCTGATTAAAACAAGCCTGGAAGGAGGAGTGGCATCCACTTCCATAACAGCTTGCCTCCGGAAAACCTATGAACCTGGAGAGACGATGAAAGGCACCCAAGCATCGAGGATTCTCCTTCATAGGGTCACTATGAGTCGCCTGCAACTCGACAGCACTTAACAACAACATATCAACTCAACTCTTTAAGATCTTCCTTTCTTTGCTAACCTTTTACTATTTCAAATATGCTGTCTTATTCCAAGGACTACACCCCTCCTGACAACAAGCTCAAAATATATGAGAAGTGGCACTCCATGGAGTAGTCAATATTCTTAGCCAATACCACAACTCAAAAACTTCAATTCTTCAGAAGCCTAAGTGCCCTATATGTCAGAGAAGACCTGCACCACAGGGATTCCTAGACCGTGCTCTTTCTGAAAGTAGATCTCAAGATCTTTTCTTCCTTGTAGTGGCTCCTAGGTCAAACTCTGGAATTTTTTCTTAGTAGCAGAGCACTGTAATATTGCCCCACCACACCTCCTTTTAGATACAGTAAACTCACTGTTGTCAAGTCAGTTTCAACTCAGAGGGACCCTCAATCAAGTTTCCAAGACTATAAATCCTAAGAGGACAATTCTCATCATTCTTCCTAGGTGCCACTGGTGGATTTGAACTGCTGGAGAGGCAGGCAGAGCCTTCTGGTTATCACTGCGACCAGCTAGGTACCACACAACCACAGTAAGCATTTAAAAATACTTAATGAATAAATTATTTCACATAAGGCACCTATCTCTCCACCTCTTACTGCCTTGAGTCACAATTAACTCATAGCTGACTCTCCAGTGGGTTTTTAGAGGCTGCAAATTACATGCAGGAGATTACATATCTTTCTTTCATGGAAAAGCTAGCAAGGATTTGAATTACCTGCCTTTGGGAATAGTAAGTATTAAAAAATATGTATTGAATAAATTACTTCATATAAGGCTTATAACCGTCCAGCGAGGGAGCTCCGGTGGCCTAGTGGGTAGAGTTGCACTACCAGCCGTAAAGCAGAGTTTAAACCCATCAGCTGCACCTCAGGAGAAAAAAGGGCAACCTCCACCCACGTGATTTACAGCCTCTAAAAACCCTCTAGAGGATTAGCTAAGAGTGGATCCAAAAGCACATAACAACAATAATCCAGTGACTTATATTTTCTTCATAACAGCTGCAATTTGCACATGAAGAAGTTGGGGTAACAAGAGGTATGGTAATGTCCCATGGTCCCATGGTTAGTGAATAGGCCACTGAACTCTGGGAACTAGACTTCAAGACGTGAACTTAACCTCTATTATCCTGGCCTGGACACACACTCTAGCCAGGTCTCATGTGTAAATAGATCAAAGACACTTGAAGGTATCTGGTGGCCTAGAGGTAAAAAGCTGTCCTGCAATCCCATGGTCACATGCCACTAGCTGCTCCACGGGAGAAGGATGGACAATCTCCCCTGTCAGTTCTAATGCAACAGAATACAACAATTAATAATTAGAACTGATCTAGTAACGAATTTCCAATAATTGATACACTAGTGGAGACCAGATCACTCACTCATTGCTGTTCAGCTGGATACAACT